ACAGAGCCCAATGGTAGGACTGGGAATAAAGACATGAGAAACCCATTGTGGCCTCACCATAGCCCCTGTAAAGGGTGGGGAATGTCATGATTTGAACAAACTTATGTAACGGGCCCAGTCATTTCTCAATGCAAGAAGAAGATTTTTAAATATTTTTCTTACGTATTCCTATATATGTTAAACTTTGATCCCCATTGTGGCCCCACCATACCGTAGGGGTCATGATTTAGAATCTACACTATCTGATGATACTACAAAATGAGTTTCATCTTTCCTGGCCAAGTGGTTCTAGAAAAGATTAGATTTTTAAATGATGCCATTAATTTTTCACTTATTTATTATTAAATCCCTTTGGAAGAGGGTGTGGCCCTTCATCTGTACAAATTTGAATCCCTTAACCCAAAGATACTTTGTGGCAAGTTTGATTGAAATTGGCCCAGTGGTTCCTGAGAAGAAGATGAAAATGTTTAAATTAAGTTTACAGATGGAGGGATGGTATATACAGACGGATGGACAGTCAGACAAAAGGTGTTCAAACTTTCTGCTCCGGTGAGCTAAAATCCCTCAGAAAGAAAGTATAATGCATCATAATGATTATATTTTTTTTAAAGAATGAAACTACAGGTGCAACCTACCGAAACATGAGTACTAAAAATAAGAATTCTGTGAGCCAATGCTCACTAGAAATACCCTGCTGTGAATAAACACTTTCATGTTAATATTAACACATTCAAGTTCATTTACAGGTAAATGCACAGAGAATATGAAGTTGAAGTCTGAGATTCACATAAAAATTAATCCCACCATATAACATATCATTGTCTCAACAAACAGTGTACTAAAATATCAAACAATATTTTGCTATGAATTTTTTTAAGTTGAAGAAAAAACTGCAACAAAAATTTCTTATGTATGAAACAGACAGACGCACTGAAAAACAGGAAGTTGACATCAGATTTGAACAAAAATGTATCTCATGGCGTATTGCATGTCTGAGAGAGGATTGTGTTAAAATTTCAAGCATCTGCAATGAGTAGATGCTGAGAAAACTGTGACAAAATTTGTTGTGTATGAAACGGACAGACGCACAGACAAACAGGAAGTGGCATCAGCTTCTACAATGATCAGTTTCTGAGAATTTAAACTACGATGAAAATTTGTTATGGACAGACACACAGATGGACAGACAGACACACAAGGGTAAAACGGTCAACCCCCCTCTCCTTCAGATCGGGTTATGTCAATTGATATTATTTAGTTTTTCTACAAATGAAACAGTTTTTTTTCATTTTTCTCTCTTATTTGAAATCAAATGATGCACAGACTTACGACCTTTTGCTTCTATGGGGTCGACATGTGAAGCAAAGAAAATAGATCATGATGTTTAAAGATCGAGACATAAGTTACGCTTGCTTTAGTCCGCTGATATACTGTGACTTACACTCTTCCTTTATTTTTTTCATAATTTTCTTTATATATAATGTAAAATCATCATAAAATTTGAAATACTTGATCATAAAATGTTACTCTTTGCACAGCTATGATAAGAAAAGAAATTTTATTTAGCAAAGTGAAACTAAATTAAGTGTTTTCCCTGTCTACGACTTTTTGGGACAAATATATCCCTTATATACACACCCCAAATGTGTTAACTGAATAAACTAAAAGTTTCAATATTTATGAAAAGAGAGGTAGATTCTGTGAGACAGACAGACAGACAAAGTGATTCCTAAGCAACCCCCAAATGAGTTTGACGGGTGTTGAATAAAACTAACAGTACCAAATTATATACAAACAGAGAGGTAGATTTTGTGAGACAGACAGACAAAGTGATTCCTAAGCAACCCCCTAATGAGTTTGAGGGGTGTTGAATAAAACTAACAGTACCAAATTATATACAAACAGAGAGGTAGATTTTGTGAGACAGACAGACAAAGTGATTCCTAAGCAACCCCCTAATGAGTTTGAGGGGTGTTGAATAAAACTAACAGTACCAAATTATATACAAACAGAGAGGTAGATTTTGTGAGACAGACAGACAAAGTGATTCCTAAGCAACCCCCTAATGAGTTTGAGGGGTGTTGAATAAAACTAACAGCTGTACCAGATTATATACAAACAGAGAGGTAGATTTTGTGTTTTTTTGACTTACCGGGAAGCCCATCACGTAGTCGGCGTGCCACGCAGGTGGACGCCGAATCCTCGTAGACCGTCGAAGCTCCATCTACATAAAAATAAAAGTTCATCAGTACATTGTCCTCAAAGTTAAGATTTTCCTTAAAATTTAAAATAATTGGCACTATAGAGCATCCAGGAGTGTTTCTGGTGCATTTATGTCAAATAAAAGAATTACCTACTTGGTAAGTTATAATGGCCAATTTTTTTTCTCATTTCAAGTCTTATTTTTACAATGAAGGTTAACATGTATTTAATTCTCAAATTTCATTTATCACTTCCTACTCACTAATAATTGAAATATTTCTTTCATGTTTTTAATTATCCTGAAGAAATATTCATAATTTATAATTACACACAATACCGACAAACCACACTGCATGAAAAGTCGGGTTTAATTTTACCTTAAATGTGATTTAAATGCTGCGATTGTTTAATGTTTAAATGCATATTATAACATATTGTGGGATCGTAAATGTTAGAAAATAATTAGCATTTAATACGAGTTTAATGAAAAATTAAAAGAACAAATTTAATAAAGTTTGGAAAATTGTAAACTTACTAATACGTTCGGATTTTAGTCTGCCGTAAACAATTATTATACCTCTAAAATACAAAACGTATAATTATTATTAAACATGGCCATAAAATTAAGTTTTACGATCACATTAAATTTGTTCGTTTAATAAAATTTAACGTAGATCTTTACCTCATTATTTTTTGTTAAATTCACACTTTACTTTATAATACTTCCAAAAATTAAGTTATATACGGAGAATTGTAAACTTACTAATACGTACAAATTTTATTCTTTCATAAACTAATATTAAATCTCTTGTATATGTGATGAAAATGTACGGATTAAACCTTCCCATATAATTAAGATTTAAGGTTGTATTTGATGAAATTTAACATTATTATATTATTGCATAATATTTTTATTTTACATTTATTCCATCAATAATTTGTATGGTTTACAATTGTGGGTTTTTTGGCAAGTATTTTACAATCTTACACAAATCCATTTCTCATTCAATTTTATTAGATGTTATCTCAATAGTGTACAAACAATGAGTTCTAACAAAGTACAAAATATTTCAAATTTAAGCCTAAAAGTCAGAATTAAAAAATTTACAATCATGATTGTAGCTCAATTATAATGGAGTAAATTTCTACATACTAGTAGTAAGTAATATACTGAAGTAATTATAAATAATATAAGAATAGTACTGTATGTAAAGTTCAAATCCGCAATAAATCAAAACACAACAGGTAAAAAATGTAGTCCTCCTGGACTCCAAAAGACTGCAAAATCTGACTGAAACTGCCCCTATTAAAACTTCTGCATGGGTTGTAAATGGCTTTTCAATTTCCCACAATAAATTATATCATACTTTGCATAAAAAGAATAAAAGTTGCCAATAAAAGTTGTCCATTCTTTTTACATGTACATTTTAATAAGACACACTAAGCCACTAACAGAGAAGCCTCACTCGCCCACAAGAAACAGCAAAAGGATCGGTCAGAGACACCACCTTTCTCTTGTTTGGGTATCAAGATCTGCAACTTACTGCCAGCAAAGCTCTTTTAGACCACCCTTATATTGTTTCCCAAGTATTTCCACAATAGATGTCCATGCACTAATTATCCAAGTTCAACTTGAAAAATACTTAATGTTGACTGTGAAAAATACAAGACCCAAAAAAACCCTTTATATCATTTGGTTATGTCAATTCAAATTAAGGAAAAAGTATCACAATTACACAAAACAATAGGAGCTTAAATTTGTTTACAATACATGTAGCTCATTTCTGTTCCAACTGCCAGGTTTATTGCTTGATGATTGTAATATAACATATCCTCAATAAATCAACGTTACATTGGAATGCAAAACATTTCAATAGTGATATTTTCAACTTTGCTTTAAAATATCAAAAATGAGCACTGAAACATGAATATATAAAAGTCCTGTATAAACATATGTAAAAGTATATTTAACAATTTTTAAGCCTTAATTACAATTCCATAACTCATAATTCATAAACTCTCTTACTTCAAATGGAATTAATATTTTACTCTTGCAATTCTCATTACTCTTGCAATATCAATTGTAATATTTATTAAAATCACAATTCACCCCTTTTTTACTCAGAAATGTCTCTACCTCATTTGCCTATTCTATTTTTTACATCTATGACTCACTAAGCCACTGACAGAGAAGCCTCACTCGCCCACAAGCAACAGCAAAAGGATCGGTCAGAGACGCCACCTTTCTCTTACTTGGGTATCAAGATCTGCAACTTACTGCCAGCAAAGCTCTTTAAGACTACCCTTGATCATGATTGTCTTATTTTTTCCACAATAATGTCCATGCACTTATTATTTAAGTTAGACTTGTACATATATGTGATATATAAATCAAGATTAAAATGTATGTGATTGCAGATTACACAACAAACCAATAAATGTTTAAACAATAAAATACACAACAATTTTAATCTGTAATCAAGCATAAGAAAAAACTTTCACTGTCAAAAATACAACACTAGGTATATTTTTCTTATTTAACATTGAATTTGTGCAAAACAGTAGCAACTCAGATATTTCATCTCTAATAGCCCATCTCTGTTCAATTAATACATCCATAGGTTTGACTCTTTTAGATTCTTTATTTGTCCTAGTTCTTCTTAATTGCTCTGCCTTTCAGAGTGCTTTGATTTGAGAATGGCACTTTTGGTGTCCTGTTCTTTGAAGACATTCTCACATTCATCAGAACGAAACTTCAGCTTTCTAATTTCATAGATAGTATTTTCTTTAGAATAATTTTTTGTACTATGAAGACGTAATCAATATTTAAAACTGCTTTTTCTTGCTTCTTCTTCTCTTCATGCCAAGAAATTTTCAGCTCTGGAGAAGCACACCTAGCTCCTAATTTCTACAATAAACATAAAAATAAATACCCATTTGTCTATATATACATATTATATGTGTGCTTCCGGATTTATGCAATTGCATATATTAAATAGTAAAAACAAAATCTGAGTTGATTTTAAAATTATCATTTGACCAAGAGGAAACACAGCTCAATTTCGCTTAATAAAAAATTTACAGAAGACTACTAAAGATATGCCATTTTTTCAAATCTGGGTAATAAAGACAGATAATTATCTATAATTTCAGGCCAGCGAGCTACAGATTTCGAAGCATGTAAATTTGGGACTAATGATTTTTTTCACCATCTTTTTTTTTTTTGGAGCATTTTACCTGCTTGACCTTGAACATGTTGAGGTGCCCTTTTCTCTGCTCCTCCACACTAATTCTTTCATTTAGCAGCAAGATACTATGGATATTGTAAAAAGCTGTCATAAACAAAATATGAAAAATTAATAACAGGTGTGGCTCTCCATAGAAAGAATATACAAAAAAGGAGAAAAAATATACAAACATGGTATACTTATGACTAACATGACTACGGCAAGAAGATAACATTTTACACAATGACAAAAATTCTCTGTGTCATCTAGTTAAGTGAATTGCATAAAAAAAAACATATAATTATATGTATAGATCAAATTTATAGACGACAAAATATGATATGAAACATACATAATGGTACCGTAGTCCGAGCACATGGAATTTGAAGATTTACAAAGTTTCTTTCTTTCTTTTTTTTTTTTTTTTTTAGCAATTTACCAATGTATTTACCTGCTTGACCTTGAATATGTTGAGGTGCGCAGCCCTTTTCTTCATGTTCCTCCAAGATATTTTATTTAATGTAGCAGAAAGATACTATGGATAAAAAAAAAATATGAAAAATTAAAAGCAGGTATGGCATCTCGTAGAAAAAATATACAAACAGATGTATTTATGATATAAAGCAAGTAGATAACATTCATACAATAATAAAATCCTCAAACTTTGTGATCTAGTACATATTATGATATGTATTATATTAAATTTAGAGACGACAAAACATGATATGAAATGGGTGTACATACTCGGAACACATAGAATTTAAGAGTAAACTTAAATGCAAAGGTTAGCATCTACAGCATTTAACATGCAAGTTATTGGGATAATGAACAAGTGATTTAACATAAAGTAAAATATATTAACAACTTGCACTGTAGATAGCAAGTTTTTAAAGTGGACAACAAATGCAAACTTCCAGTAAATGGTGGCAATCTCATACACAATAAGTTGTACAACAAATGATTAGTTCGTACCTCATACTTGCAGTGTTTTCAATAAGATTTTCAATAGAAGGAAAAATAGATGGAATAGCAGGAAACCAGTCTCGGCGAGGGGTCTGGGGGCCGCCTATCCAGGGCAGAGCCCTGGTCGAAGCCCCCCGGCCGAAACGAAAATCAGCATTTTTGACTCATTTTCTTACCTCTCAGGCTATTAAAAAAGTACCATTTTTTCACATTCCTGTCATTATCAATTATCAAATTTTACCTTAAAAAGCCAATTAGAAAACATTTTTTACCTTTTCACAGATTTGTTTGACAGTTTTTTGACAGACTGAGTTTTTTTTCTTTTGTAAACTAAGTGTCTATATAAACATATAGACAACTTAAAAGTATGAAATTCTACTTTGTCTGTGGTAGAATATTATACTGAAAATTCTACATTTTGTCCCTTTCACATAAATTAGTCAGGCCTTTTATTCAAAATTCAAAAAAAAATTATTTAGTTAAAAATGTAATTTTTTTAACACTTGGTGATGTACAGTACCCTCCAAAAATTGAAATATTCTGCAATCTTAGACGTTTCATAAAATAATTTTAAAACTTATTTACTTTGGCATTTTCATTATGTACAGATTGTCAGAACAAAATAATTAAGAAAATGGAATTTGATACAAAATACTAGTACATTAAAACCTTCCCAAATGTGAAAATGATACTGTTCCTGTATTTCAAGAGATCTTACACGAATAAATGAGAATAATTTTTTTCATTTTCAGTTTGAGGAAATTCTGTAAGAATTTCTATGTCTGAGTCACGATTAAAATATTAAGACTTTTATTCGTAATTATTACGTCTTAGCTTAACACTTGAGATTTTCAGTTTGAGGAAATTCTGTAAGAATTCAACATTTTTCGTAAGGTCTTAAAATTATATTTATTTGCCGTTTTTTCACCGGGGAACCCCTCACTTAATATTAAGGCTGCCGCACAATCAATTTTCAATCGAAAATTATAAAGCACAAACAAATCTTTTTGGAAGGGACCATTCTTTATGCCTCTTAATGTATGTGATCTCAAACGCATGTGTTACAGCAGCAGCAGCACGTTTCTCCACGACTTCGCTCAAATATTCGTTGTCCGCGCCGCCATTGCATGACACGATCGATCTAATCAAACTTCCTTGAAAAAAGAGCGCACTCAAGGGAAGCTACTCTAAATCATGGAAATAGTTGCGATAAAATCTATGGATTTCACGTATCAGCCCCGGCGAAATCTTAATGACGGAAATTTCATAGCCGGCAAAATTTCTCGTACAGGTGGTTAATTTTGCCGGTTGCCGGCTCTTATTGAAAACACTGACTTGGTAGCCAAATATCTGGTCAAGTCACTTTCAGGAAGAGAGCCTCAGCAAGGTCAATGTTGATCATTCCCATAGCTACTTCAAACTTTTCTGGCACAATTTCTGAAAGAAAAGATGTATCTTGCAGGGATTTTTATTCAAACTAGGAATAATTCTCATGAATGTAAATATTTGAAAAGTTTATAGATGACCGATGAATACCAGACACAGAACAGAAAACTTGCTCGGGTCTTAAAATGGCTCAGGTGAGCTAAAATAAATCAATTCATGTGATTTTATTGATCTTATCAGAAAATTTAAGAAATCTTACTGTTGTGTTAATCTTCATACTGCTTTTGTCATTTCTTGTGAGCATTTGGATTCCTGTAAATAATGCATGCATAATTGTGCATCATAGAATGTGATAGCTATTTTTAATAATTCATGCTTACGTATTTAACGTAAAAAAATATGCATAGCTCAGAATCCATTGCTATTGTATTTTTAGGATAAGGAAAATAAGAATATAAACCTCGTATTGTCTACTTGGTATATAGCATTTCAAGTTGTTGCAATATTTTTTATACTCTTATGGTAAAAGATACAAGTTAATAAAAACATTGTTTGTTTATTTGTGATAATAGAAAATTTGAGCTGTATGGTTCTCACCATTTTCACAAGCTGTCAACATAGCCGGCGTTATGGGGAATCGTCTCAGGCACAGTCCACACTGCAACTATTTAAATAATCAAAATAAGTGCTCAATATATTCTTGAGTAGGCATTAAGAAATAATTAAATAATTTATTACATTCACTGTACAACACTCTCTGTAAATGCTGAACAGAGGAACACTTTAGTGACAAAAATTCTGAAACCAATCCCAAACGAGAAAATTCTGGTTAAAATCCATCTTTAAGTTAGATGGTTAAAAGTGTTAAATAATTATTACAAAATGTAAATAGCGCTTGCCCAAACGTTTTTACTGCCAGGCATTTTATGTGTACAGCCCAGACTAAGGAACAGTAACATTATCAGTAGCAGAGGCAATTATTCATTCAACACGTGTGTTCAAGGTGTTGAGGGGTGTTCAAGGACACATGATAAAATTTTGTACATTGTTCATACCGCTAAACAGGGTCGTAAATGTCTTCATCTTCTGTTAAACATAAATTCCATCCAAAGTTTATCATGCTTCTCCTTTTCGAGTAACTCTCTTTCGCCCCTTCCTCCCATACAACATCATGATCAAGTTCAACATGGCTGCGTGGAACTCTCCAAAAAATTGAATTTCGGCGCGGTGTGTTGTTTTTAAATAAATTGCTTTTCGAGCCCGACTTCGATCCCGATGTAATTGTACTACAGTGGTAGACTAAGTTATATTCCACAGTTTTGAAAAATCTACATAAGGGTAAATAAATAAAAATGAGAAATAAATAAATTAAAATGAATAGGGTGCATAAATATTTTTTTTTCAAAAATGTTTCAACATAAGTTTACATTAGGTATAAAGAATTATTTATGACATATTCAAAATACCAAAAATGTACTTAAACTTCAAGTATAAGCATATTTACTTTTACATGTCGATATTCTTAAACGGAACGTATAATTATCTCAATTAAACTATATTATTCTCGAAGTATTTTGCATTAAATATGATTATATTTATTTGAAAACTGTATTTAATTATATCACAATATATCTCATGTAAAATGTACCGTTATACATAAATTAAATTCAATACAAGGAATTTACTGGAGTAAACGAATTTATTAAATTATATTAAACGCGACTTTTCATGCAGTGCCAATGCAGAGCAAAATCATGCATATACTGTAAAAGCACAAATATTCGTTGGGGATTTAATTTCGTTTATTTCGTTGTTAACGACTATCAACGAAATTAAATCCTACACGAAATTTTTTATGACTTTAAATTAAATAGGGTTATTTTCTAAACAACGAAATTAAATCCCAACGAAACTATTTCTGATGGCAAATCAATTAAATTTTATGCCTACAAAAATTTGTGCTTCTACAGTATGCAGAAAGGGAAGGTTAAAAAACTATATTAACAATATGATGGATAATACTGGATAGGTCATGCATTTACATGTATATCTACCAGTCATTGTTATTTTTCCTATATAATATCAATTAACTTCCAAGATTAAAATGTTAAAAGCTTAATAACGATTAAAAAATAAACAACTGTTACAGACTTTTGGTACTCTTTCAATGAGGTAATTGTTGCCTCTCGTTCAAGGGCAAGATCAAAGATTTTAACAAGAGGCCCAGGGGCCACAGCGCTCACCTGAGCACATCGGGCTTGAATTTACCCCCCCCCCCCCCTTTCCAGGCATTCATCATTTGAACAAACTAGAATCTACACTACCTGAGGATGATTCCATATAAATATCACTAATCATAGCTTTGAAGTACTTGAAAAGAAGATTTTAAAAGGTTTCCCTATATATCCCAATGTAAAACTTGGGTCGGCCATTTTGGCCCCACCCTAGCCCCGGGGGTCATGATTTGAACAAACTTGAATCTACATTACCTGAGGATGATTCCACATGAGTTTCATTTTCCTGGCCCACTGGTTCTTGAGAAGAAGATTTTTAAAGATATTTCATATATATATTCCTATGTAAAAGTTGGGTCGGCCATTTTGGCCCCACCCTAGCCCTGGGGGTCATGATTTGAACAAACTTGAATCTACACTACCTGAGGATGATTCCACATGAGTTTCATCTTTCCTGGCCCAGTGGTTCTGGAGAAGAAGATTTTTAAAGATTTTTCCTATATATTCCTATGTAAAACTTGGGTCGGCCATTTTGGCCCCACCCTTGCCCCGGGGGTCATGATTTGAACAAACTTGAATATACACTACCTGGGGATGATTCCACACGAGTTTCATCTTTCCTGGCCCAGCGGTTCTGGAGAAGAAGATTTTTTTAAAATGCCATTAATTTTTAACAAATTCATGATTATCTCCCCTTGGAAAAGGGTGTGGCCCTTCATTTGAACAAACTTGATTCCCCTTTACCCAAGGATACTTTGTGGCAAGTTTGGTTGAAATCGGCTCAGTGGTTCTTGAGGAGAAGATGAAAATGTGTAATATTACGACAACGACGACGACAGACGACAGACAAATTTTGATCAGAAAAGCTCACTTGAGCCTACGGCTCAAGTGAGCTAAAAAGTAGGTCAAACTTCAAGATCAAGGTCAAAAATCTTAGTGTATTTAGAAAGGTCTTGACTCACATATAATATAAGTTTTAATATGAAAGCCCCACCTCTTCTCATTCAAAAGTTATGGCCAATTTTAAGTTGTTTCTTTTTTAAGAAGGTCAAACATCAAGGTGATGAGTTCAAAAATTGGTGTCTTTAAAAAAGATCTTAAATTGTCACATTCAACACACAGGTTTGATATGAATTAAAGCCTCCTCTCTTCTCAACTTGAAATGTCATGATCAAGGTTCTTTTTTGAAAAGTAGGTCAAACCTCAAGGTTATTATAGTCATGAGAGAAAAAATCATAGAGTTCTTGTCAAAAATAATATACATATTTTCATATGTGAGACATGAAAGCCCCATCCCTTCTCATTCAGAAGATATGACCAGGTTTGAAGTGGAGACAGCTGATAAACTGTCAGACTGACAGACGGACAGACAATGGAGATTTAATGTGACTTCCCTCACCTTTGTGAAAGTGGCAGACAAGAACGTCCAGGCAAAACTATTTTGATTGATTCTACAGAATATTTCACTGATATGGAGATGTCGATCACCACTGCCGGTAAAGGGCCGGGATGCAAAGAACGAGTGCACTTATGGGCCCCGGTAAAATGTGAAAAAATAAACATTCAAATTAAGCAAAATTTTTCATCCCAAATCATTAATTGATATCTAAACCATAAGATTCAACAAATTTTACTGCTGAAATTCACGTATATACAAAGAACAAAACCATAGCATGCAACAGGGGTCAACCGACATTTGTGATTTTCTATAGTTAATCGAGAATGGTAAGTATTACTATGAGCCTAACTTTGTACAAACTTGTGCGAATGACAAAAGACGCATAATACATTTTATAAACATTGTGTGAAAGTTGGAAATTTGTACACGATTAGGCTGGTAGTTAAAATACTAAAAATGTACAAAAAGTACAATGTTTTTCCTATAGCAAGTGAGAGGTATTTACCTGTATGACCCATGTTGAACCCACTTGTGGAATAAATTATTTAAAATACTGATAGTCACGTGAGTTCTACCCAGGTAAACATTCCCCAAAGGTGCTCACTGTAAAACATCGGCATGTTTTTTTTATCATTTAGTCAAAATTGCGCCGCTTAGAAATATTTTTATGTATATCTATATTTAAGATTACGGTAGGGTAAAGAGAGTTTTGCGCCACTCATAAAAGTGTCAGACATTTTTAACATTTATGCAAGACAATGAAACAGGTATTGAAAGCCACCTAAACACTCCTTTTAGATTTCAAATTCATTTTATTGTATATATTTTTTCAAATGCAATAGAACCGATTTCTTAGTTTGATTATTATGGCTACACAGGCAACTACAGAAGTTCTTTCAATTTTTTAAAACAGATATAGCACAAAAAAGTTACATTCCACAAACGCGCCCGACTATGATCCGGCCACCATCAGATTGTTCAAGATCTCTTCGCCTTGATTTACATAAACGAACTAAAAGAAGGTTCGGTTCGACTTTTCCGGATTTTTAGGGTGTCCATATAGGCATTTAAAAATAGTCAAATGTTTCAAATCCATGCTGATTTTGGTGATGATTATCGTGCTTTTTAATTAAAAGTATGCACTAGTATATAACTATTTCCAAAAGATAACGATTTGGTTATATATTCTAAAGTAAAATGGCACATGAAAAGGGCCCATTAAGCATTGCTTAAGTGCACTTGTCCTTTAGGCCCATGCTCGGCACTTACAGCCTTTGAGCAGGGAGGGATCTTTATCCTGCCACACCTGCTGTGAAACGGGGCCTCGATTTATACGGTCTCATCCGAAGAACCACCCCATTTAGTCGCCTTTTAAACAGGCAAGGGGGTACTGAGGACCTATATCTAACCTGGATCCCCATGGGGCCAAAACTATTTTGAATATTTTCTTTAATATTAAGTTTCTACAAATTTAAAATTACTGTCAAGCTCATTTAAAAGGTCTACTAGACCAATTAAGTCCATTGTATATAATTTTAGTTATGCCATAATTGAGGGATGGTCAATATAATTATTCATATTTTGAAAAACTGTTTACAGGGTAACCGGCACACATACAGACAGATGGAGGGACAATGGACAAATAAGTCAAGATCTTGTGGTCTAATCAGTTAGAAGAAGAGCCATGTTACACAGATTGAGACCTGTTTGTAAACAGTCCCGTACAAAACAGTCCGGGCAGCTTGGACACGGCTCACGCACGGATTCCGTCTCCAGAAACCCGTGCTTTAGCAGGTGGAGAGCTGCAAATTTTGTCTTATACTCGGCACTTACAGGGCCATTGAGCAGAGAGGAGTCTTTTTCTTGCCAGCATCTACTGTGACATGGGATTTCGCTTTATACAGTCTCATCTAAAGACCGGACTCCCATCCCACAATGGGATACGAACACGCGACGTTAGGTTTGACTCCTTACTCCACACCTCTACAGCAGACACTCTAACCATTGTGCCACATGGGCGTCTTCAATAGTGTATAAGAAGTCTGTGCATCTGATTATTTATTTATTTTCTTCTCAACTTAA